TGTTGGCCTGATGGGCTGCAGTGCAAGGGGTAACATGGACAGCTCAATGCCTTGAGGGCCCAGCCCCAACCTGCATAGGGAGGGAGGGCTCCTTTTTAGGGGAGAGGGGTGGAAACAGCTCGAGGCATTAACCTTGAGCCCCCATTCCTGCCCTCTGCAGGCGGGAGGCCACCCCTGAGAGCTACCAGCAGTGCCACGGTTTTCGTCAACCTGTTGGACCTGAACGACAATGACCCCACTTTCCAAAACCTGCCCTTCGTCGCTGAGATCGCTGAGGGCCTTCCAGCAGGCTCCTCTGTCTTCCAGGTGAGTGTGCCCCATCGCCACCATGCCCCGCACTGGGAGCTGCTGCTGCTGCTGCTGTCGCTGCCATCACTTCTGCAAAGCAGGCTGGAAATACATCCCCTGCATCCTCTCCATCCAATGCAACCGGGGGGATGCAGAAGGGGCTGTGGCATCCCACCCCGTGTGCTTGCTTCTGGCAGGGGGGATGCTCCAAGGCCCCTTTGTTTCATCTCAGCATCCCGGGGGGCAAAGAAACACTCAGGGTTTATGTACTGTGTTTTTCATCATCAGGAGATGATGGGGCTGCCCCATGCTCATCCCTTCCCTCCGCTCTCCCCACCAGGTAGTGGCCATCGACCTGGACGAGGGTCCGAACGGGCAGGTGACGTACCGCATGCAGGTGGGGATGCCCCGCATGGATTTCCTCATCAACAGCACCAGCGGGCTTGTCACCTCCACCACCGTGCTGGACAGGGAGAGGATTGCCGAGTACTATCTGCGAGTGGTGGCCAGCGATGCTGGTGTGCCCTCCAAGAGCTCCACCAGCACCCTGACTGTCAAAGGTGGGTGCACCCCTTCCAAATCTTTCCTAGCTGCGAGCCCTCTCTGGTCCCAAAAAGATGGGTGACAAGGACACGTCACCCAGGGAGAGATATGGTTTATACAGGAGATTTGATTTATACAGGAGACACACCGAGATTCTTATTGTGTGGCCTGTCTTTGATTTGATGCATTTCTATTTACCGGCTTCACACAGGTCTAGTGCTGAGGATAAACATCATCTGGGGAAAAAAATTACCCGGGATTCCCCTCAGGCCTGGGTATGGAAAAAGAAGTTTCTGGTCCTGTAACTCCAGAGCCCTCTGCCATATACCAGGAAATACTGAGCTTATATTTAAGCCCCAGATTTTCCTCTGAATGGGGATGGAAGCAAGTCTGTGATTAAAGTTAGTGTCTGCACCAGTTACGCAGGGTTTCTTTGCACATGGGGTGTGATCGGTATGTATCAGAGGAAACAAAATACAGCCTGCAGCTATGGGGATCAGTCCTTACAGCCGGTCTGCAGGCACCCCCACCACACGGAGAGCCGGGAGTAGCAGACAGAGCATTCCCTGGGGTGCTCGGAGCAGGAGGCAGGGGGGGTTGGGAGACTGGTGGACATCAGCCTGGCATCTGCAGGAGGGGCAGCCCTGGAGGGACACTCAGCTCTGCTCCCCCTTTCAGTTCTGGACGTGAACGACGAGAACCCCACCTTCTTCCCAGCCATCTACAACGTTTCACTGCCTGAAGACGTGGCCCGGGATTTCAAAGTGGTCCGGCTCAACTGCACAGATGCTGACATTGGGCTGAATGCTGAGCTCAGCTACTTCATCACCGGTATGAACCCCTTGCAAAGAGCTGCACGGGGGACCTTCGGTTGTGGAAAGGACCCGGCTGCCCTAGACTTTGGCCAGGGTGTTCTGCACATCAGCGCTGCCTTTTCCAGCCCCTCCAAACCTTATGCGGTATCGCCCTCTGCTGAACAGCCCCCGCTCGGCTCCCCGCCTTGCTGCCCGCTCCCCTGCTACTCCTTGTCCTGCTCGGGATGAACCCTCGCCCCCGAGCATCCCCCGTCCTCTCACACCACAGGGATGGAGCCAGGAGAAAGCACGAGGATGGGCTTAACACCAATGGGGCCACATTCACGTAATGCGTATTTATGGTTGGAAGCCTTCCTGGAGTTTTAGAGCGTCTCGTAGCTCGGCGTGCAGGTGGTTTTGGGTGGGCAGGGAGCGGGCGGGCAGCGATGCAGCCTGGGCAGTGCCTGGCTCACACCGCAGCTGCAGCACCTGCAGCAGCAGGCCGGGGAAGTCCCTGGCCACACTTTGACTTGCAAACTGCACGTGTGGCATTTAGCCCTCAGGAAGAGGGCAAAACCAGAAGCGTCACCAGTCATTTTTCTTACAGCAGCAGCCTCATGTTTCATCTCACAGCCCCTCCGGCCTCCCCCACAAGAGAAAAGGTGTGTGCTGTCCCACAGGTACCGCAGGCCACATGCAAAGTGACCCCAGTTTTCTTCTGAAGTATTCAGGAAACAATCTGACATTTATATGATTCATCTTTTCCTACAACCATCTCCCCTTGCCTGCGCTGTGAAGTAGACACAGCATTTGATGTGGTGGCGAGGTGGTCTCTGACCGCTTTTGCTGCAGAAAACCTTTGCCAATGACAAGATACAAGCGTGCCCTACACTTGCCTTGCTCAAAACCCTGTAAAATTCAGCCCTTCAGGAGGGCAGGCTGAGTGCTTGAGATTTCCATGGCTGGGCTGACTCTGCGCCCAGGCTGCAGCATCCCCCGCAGCGTGGGCTCAGCTCCCTGCATCCAGACAGGGGTAACCTGGTCCTTGTCCTTTGCTGCAGGTGGGAACCAGGATGGTAAATTCAGCGTCGGCTTCAGGGATGGGGTGGTCAGGACAGTCGTGAGTCTGGACAGGGAGACCATGGCATCGTACACACTGATCCTTGAGGCCATCGGTAAGGAATTCCCACCATTCCCATGGGACCATAGTCACGTAGGGTGGCCATGCATGTGCTGAGCTGCCTTGGCAATGCAGCAGGGAGACAGTAGCTTTTGGGGTGCTCGATAAACCAGAGCCTGCGTTTGGTGTTAGCATTTCCATAACCCATGTGCTTTAATAAGGCCTGGTTCTACCCACAGTAAATTCACCCCTCAGGCTCGCCCAGCCCCGGGGCTTTCCCTTTCCCCCAGGGAAGGCAAGGCCTGCCCTGTTCCCCTGGAGGCTCCGTGCTGCCTGGGTCAGATCTCCACCCAGAAATGCCAGTGCCACAGCACCGTTCCCCCAACACCATGCCAGCCCTTGGCTCAGGGGCTGCCGATTAATGCGGAGCCACCTGGCACGGGCAGAGGGCCTGCGTGCCAAACGCATCTTGGCCGTCATCCCCAGAGCTTTATAATGATGTGCCTGTTTGCAGAAGACTTCGATGATCCTTTTGAATGGAGAAATAAGTGGCCTGGTCAGAAATCTCAGGGCATGGCATTGCAGGTGCCACAGGGTCTGCAGCAGGGATGCTGCGCCAGCCAGGCACACAGGACCGGATCCCAGGTGGGAAAGGGACCGTTCTGACTCTCCAGTGGGTATCAGGCTGCCTGTGTTTCCCCAGTCACCAGATCCCAGCCGGGTGGATTCAGTGCTCTCTGAGCATGTTGGATAAAACAAACTCAACCTGTGCCCCCCATTGCCTCATCCTTCATGGCAAAACCAAGAGCAGGACTGCCATGTCCTTATCTACTGAACACCAACCGGTCCTGGTGCTGTTTGGCTGCGAGCCGAGCCAGGTCTGCAGAAAACTCATCAGACCTCTGCCCATCTTCATCTCCCAAATCTCTGACCTCCAGCAGTCCCTTCCAGCATACATCACCCTATGTGTCTATGGAGTTGCAAACCCTCATAACGACCAGTTGCATTTCCAGCCTTGCTGGGCAGTGGCTCCATGGCAGATCTTGGGTGTGGTTTGGCTCTTCCATTTTCTTTCAGGATAGGCATGAAAACAAACCCCCTTGTTGTTCAGTGTGAGATTGGGAAGCTGCAGAAAGGACAGGATTTTATTTTAGAAATTTTAGTCCCATTATTTTCAGCAGCCAAAGGCTGAGCATCACCTGTGCAAGGAGGGGATGAAGGTGACCAAACCTCCCCTTGCCTTTCTCTCCCATACAGACAACGGCCCCACAGGGAACCGGCGCACGGGGACTGCGACCGTGTACGTGACTGTCCTGGATGTCAACGACAACCGACCCATCTTCCTTCAGAGCAGCTATGAAGTCAGTGTCCCTGAGGACATCCCGGCCGCCAGCAGTATAGTGCAGGCACGTGGCTCTCTTCCACTGGGACCTTTGGGTGGGTGAACGAGGTCAGCTGCTCTCCTTGCCCTGGCACCATGGCTGTGAGCTGCAGGAAGCCCAGGGCAGATTTTCTCTCCCCATCGGTGGTCTGGTCCCCCACGTCAGGGCAAGGTGTGCTCTTGCTTTTGTGCTCCTCTGGTCCTTTGTTAACCCAGGCTGTGAGTACTGGGGAGATGACAGCAAAGCGCAGTGGAAAAATAAGAAATTCATCCCATTACTGCAGAGAGTGAGAAGAGCAAACCCAAGCACTGTGTTGGCGAGGCCCCTTTGCCTGTCTGCATCCCCACTTTCTCCCTCCTCCCAGCAGAGAAGAGGCCAAGAGCAGAGATCTCAAGGGGGAGGGAGAAGAGTGCATGCAAAGAGATACTCTGAGAGGGGGGGAAAATGGAGGAAAAAAAGCATTTGGGCTTTGCTTTCATTTTTATTCCTCTTTGAGGGAGCGGTGGGCAGAGCTGAATGGCTCAGTGAGTGCTGAATGAATGCGGGCATTCACTCAACCTCCGAGGGCTTCCAGCATCCCTTCAAACCCAGGGCTCTTCTGGAGCGGGCACCAAAGGCTCTTTGCAGAGGGCCCTGGGAAGGCTCCTCCTGCCTTGAATACCTCTCCCGTCACAGGGAAAGGGGTAGCTTTGTCCCTGGCTCTCCCGGGCAGAGTGAGTCACCAGGGGAGAAGAAAAGAGCCTTTTGCCTCTTGCAACAAAGGTTTGCTGGGAGCCGTGCATCATGCTCGGGGTGGCCAGTCCCCAGGCATGAGCCCTGCGGCTCCTTGTCACCTGTTGTGCTATGGCACGGTGTACGTGATGCCCATGGAGAGAGGCCATGCTGGGGGACTCCTAAAACTGAGCCATTTTTGTAAATCAAATGGAGGAAAGCCAAGTCTGACATCAAAGTCCCCTTTTCTCAGAGCACGCTTCCCAAAAGAGGGGTGTGCCCCTGAAGTCTGTGGCAAAGGAGAGGCAGTATTTGGGGGAAGTCAGTTTTCCACAGAAAAAAATCAGAGGGAAACGGAAATGGGCAATCACCTGGGTTTAGTTTAATTTACACTTTAAGTGTGAACCATTCCTACCAAAGGTCTCCCTCTTCAAATACATCCCCACATTCCCATGGCAACAAGAGGGTTTTTGAAAGTTTCCCCATCCCCTTCTCTGAAAGCCAAGCAGCCTAAAGCTGGAGGAGAGATGGGATGTCCCAGGCAGCCCAGGGAGGTCCTGATGCAGAGCTGCTCCCCACAAGGGTCAGAAACCACGTGAAATCCAAAGACGTGGGGCTTGGTGCTCACCGCAGGGCCTCACCAGACACAGAGACTTTGTCCAAAGGGGTGAACTTGATGGCTGAACGTAGTGTGAGCTGCAGACCTGGAAGACTTAAGCCACTTTTTCTTTTTCTTATTGATTCCTTCAAGCACATCGGGTTACCTGCTGGCTGTTGTGCCCTTTCCCAGCAGAAACGCGCAGCTCAACTTTGCATGGTGGCTTTCCAAGCTGGCAGCGGCTGCGAGCTTCAAAAGGCCTCTTTAATATATTTACAGGCATGTTTACCTGCTCCTGCTGCTCATTTATTGAAGCAGGTTTCCAGCAGACAGCTGTAGCATGCATCCTTCCAAGCATCAACCGCAGCAACTCACGACTCGCTGCACGGGGAGGGGGGCGACAGGGACTGGGCAGCATGTGGGGGGCATGAGCCTTCCTCCATCTGCTCAGGAGCACATCTTGGGGGGCAGTTTCAGCTGAGGCTTGCTTTTTGTGGAGCGTGTTTGCCCCAGGATGCCTCTCTTCAAGGCGGTATTTGTTAGGCAGCCAGGTTGCCCTGCTCTCACCCAGGCTGTTTGTTCAGGTGCCGCTCAACTTGCACAATGTTTTCCAAAAGAAATTAAGCAGCAATATTTTTTTGGACTGCCTGGTGATAGCTGTGTGTGGGTGTAGTTCGGATGCCTCCACCTTTCCTGCCAGGAAACAGTAACCTGGAAAGCATTTGGGAACCTGAAATAGCAAAATCTCCTGTCATCAATGGAAATGAGCTGCTCAGAGGGGCTCTGCCGGGATGCCCAGGATCCCAGGGGATGCCTGAGGAGGGAACGGAGCCTGAACCAAAAGCTTGGGGAAGAATAGGGGTGTGGAGTGAGTTGATTCCTGCAGAGCAGGGTCACATTTTGGTGGACTCCATGATGTCCCAGTCCTGGCTAGTGGGGGAGCTCCTGGGGCAGGTGAGCTGGCTTTGGGACACCGGCCGACTCCTCCTGAAGGTGTTGATGGAGCATCGCAGGGAGCCCAGCCGCTTCCAGAGCCTCAGCTGGGGCTCGCTGGCATCCACTGGGTGATGGGGCATGAACTCCTGGGGCCTGGAGCCCGACTGTTCCAGCGCTGCTGGCTTGCACAGGGTGACAAAAATGAGGAAGGTTGCCAGGAGGATGAAGATGCAGACGAGTGCAACGATGATGGGCAGTGGGTCTGCCTTCTCAGGGGATGCAGGGCTGGGCAGGACGAGCTCAGTGGTTGAAACCAGAAGCCCAAGGAGAGGTGGGGTGGGAGAGGTCCCATTGCCAGCGTCCTCTGTGCTCATCTTCCCTGCAGTGCATAAGGTGACATAGAGAAGCAAGGTGATTACTACCTAGAAGCTGGACAGACAGACGGATGGATTTTTGTCTTGCCTTTATGTGCAAGGTCCTCCTGGCCATGTTTTCTCTGACACAGAGGGACAGGAGGAGTCTGTCTGCTTTGCCAGCAGGCAAAGCACAGAGGTGGGATTTCTACATGCAAAATACTGTCCTGAACTGAAGTGGAAAACCACCTGGCAGGGAAATCTAGCACAGGTAGCACTACGTACACGTAGTACCACAGCCCTGGTGATGACACCTGTAGGGAACATGAATGCACATTACGTGAAGCTTTTCTGGAAGTGATAAATAACTGCATGCTAGAGAAGGTCCAAAATATCCCCCCCAGGCTGCTGGAGTTTGGTTTTCTCTATTCCCCAGAAATGTGGGCTTGTTGAGCTGACTATCATTTGGGGTTTTTTGATTATTCCCTCTCCACCAAAGAAAATAGTTGGTTGAGCCTCCACCCAGATAAGTCCCCATCAAGCTGTAGTATCGCGCTAGCATTGCCCTTTTTTTTTTTTTTCCTGGGTGAAATGTAACGCCCTCGCCCTGCTTGTGCCGAGAATCTTCTTGTGTTAGGTGTTTTGCTGACCTGGTTTCAGGTTCAGACATGTCATGGGTTTCTCAGCCAGTTCTGCAAACGGTGATGCAAAGCAGCTTCCCAAAGTCTCATCAGGAAGAGCTCTTACCAAACACCTGATGGCAACTGTCTTCTCTCCCCACCAGGTTGGATTGGCCCCAGCCCGCATCCCCAGAGCAGTTTGCACCCATTGTTTTGCTTCAGCACACCCTCCTGCGCCCATTCTTGGCCCTGGATGGGCTGTGCCTGAGGCAGGCATCTCCCCAGCTCATCGATGAGGGCTGGGGAAATAAAAATTGCTGTGCCAGCCCTCTGCAATGCGACAGCTTGGCTTGGCCCTTGATGCTCTAGTCTGTATGTTGGAGGTAAAGCTTTATTATGCTGACTTTCCTACAGAGATGTGGGATTTAGAAGAGTGATGGAGAGCTGTTAGACTGGTCCATGGCTGGGCAGTCTTCTGGCAGGTATGGATTTGGATTGAGCCAATTTAAAATTAAGAGTTTAGGTGGGGGGAAAGGCAGGGCTGCAGGGACTGCCAAGGTCTCTGAGTCTGTTCTTGCAGCCACCATCCCAAAGCCACACAGGTTTGTGTAGGCAGCTGCCAGCCATTCACTAGTCAAGCAGTCAAAAGGGGAGAGGAGATATCAATGAAATGTCTTTAATCATTAACTGGAAACTATGAAATGCCCTGGCAGAGACGAGGCCAGTGGAAAGATGCTGTGTCAGAAGAGACAAGCAATGCTCACCATCCAAATTACGCAGGAGGAAACAACCTTAAGCAAACACAGTGAGAGCTGCAAGGCCGAGCACCCAGAGCTTGAGCCGCCCTCGAACCTGAGCTGTCTGTGCCCCAGCCGTACCCTCCGTGTGCATGTGCACGCTTAGGTAGGTGAGCTCCCAGCTCTGGTTTGCCGGAACCCTGCCTCGTCCCGAAGGGGGCAGATCACTCCTGGAGGATCTGTGCTTCTCCCCGTGCAGGCAATGAGCTGAGGGAATAATACAGAGGGAATAAGGTCAGAGGTTTCCACTAGAGCTGGGTGCCTGGTTTGAAGCACTTGGGAGATGTGATTTATTTCTGGAATGCTTTGCATCGCCTGGGCTTGAGCATTCAAAGCTGTGACGCTGGCGGCCTCAAGGCGAGGTCAGCCTGGTCAGAGCTCAGAGGCTCTTGGGAGATGCGGCTGTTTCCCTGGGTCAGAGACAGGTCTGCACTAAGAAAATGGGAAATGCAAAAAAATAAATGGGTTGGCATCTGAGAGCACGTTAGGTGAATCCCCATGCGTATTGCAAGCAGGTTCAGGGGTCAGGACTCTTATCCCCCCCTCCAAAGTGGTGTTTTCACCTCTCTTCAACCCAAAAGCATTTCTTTATCATGCAGCCTCGCCTTGCCTGGCTCAGCCCCTTCCCCTCCCGTTTTGGGAGCAGAGCAGCCCCTGGCAGCCGCAGCCGTCCCAAGGACACCCCTGCTCCGTGGGCAGGCTGCTCCTGAGCACTGCCCTGGGCCAGGGCATGAAAACCAGCAGGCAAGGCTGCTGCTGGCTGTGCACATCAAGGTTACCACGGCTACCTTAATTCTGGCATTTACTAACCACACGTAGGTTGGCTTGGTGACCTTATATTGTTCATTAAGAGTGAGCCGGGAGGCGTGGGCAATTTCTTCAGGTTGTTTTTTGTTCCGTTGGTGGTGGCTGTAGGGTTTTTATTTTAAATCCAGCTGAGACTGTCCTTTAGAAACCTGTCAAGGAGGCAACACACTGATGTTTTCCCAGGCTTTACCAGCCCTGCTCTTTTCTCCTCTTGCTTCCCATCCATCCTCTCCTCACACCCAGCTTGGCTGGCAGAGCTGCAGTTCAGGGAAGGTCCAGGCTGCTTCTCATCTGATTTCTTAAGTCCCTCCAGAAAAAGTGCTGCTAAAAATCTGGGAAATCTTTGTAGAGTACATGTGAGTGGTGCCTTTTTTTTTTTAGGGCCAATAGGTTTTCAAAATATTAACATGGACAAAAGGGGTTTCCCCCTCACATCCTGCTTGAGACAGAGCTAAAGCCGTTTCAGCAGAATTTCAGCAAAAAGCCTCGAAAATTGGGGTCCTATCAGCAGAAAGGTGAGAGCATGGTAAGAGCAGCACTCCCTGTGGCCACAGCATGCACAGGGATGAGGGCTTCCCTCCCACGGGGTGGGAGCTCAGTGCCTTTCCTGAAGCGTGGCAATGGGCCACTTGCCCACAGTATTTTGTAGCCACCAGGCAAGCTGCTGCCTGCATCCTTGTTCATAGCATCACCCCTTCCCAGCATTGCTGTCCCACCGCAGCCCCACATCGTGCAGCTGGGTTAATAACAGGCTGTGCTGGGTTTGTATTAGGGTGGGGATTTTGGTATCAGGGCAGGGAGCTACAGTGGTGGCTCTGTGAGAAGCTTCTCGAAGGTCCCCCTGCTCCAAGTCAGACCTGCCTCTGTGCCAAGGCCGAACCAGTTAGTGATGGTGGCTGCGCCTCTGCACTAATGTATTTGAGAAGGGGAACCTGAGCGGAGGAGTTGGAGTTGTGAGGAGCTGCAAGGAGAACACCTATGCAAACACTGAGGCCAGTGGAAGGAAGGAGGTGCCAAGGCAGAGACCCCCCTGCAGCCCATGGTGAGAGGTCAGGCTGTGCCCCTGCCCCCTGGGAGGTCACTGGTGGAGCAGAGACCCACCTGCAGCCTGTGGAGGACCCCGTGCCGGAGCAGGAGGCTGTGCTCGGAACAGGCCAAGACTCTGAGGGAAGAAGCCCCCGCTGTTGTATTTCAGCACTGGGAAGACTGCAACACGTGGGGGGGACCCACACTGGAGCAGCTCACAAAGTGCTGCAGCCTGCAGGAAGGACTCACATCAGAGAAAGCTGGTGGAGGACTGTCTCCTGTGAGAGGGACCCCAAGCTGGAGCAGGGGAGGAGTGCGAGGAGCCCTCCCCTGAGGAAGGAGCGGTGGGACTGACTGCACCCCCCCATCCCCTGCCCCTGTGCTGCCTGGGAGGAGGAAGTAGAGAAATCAGAAGGAAAGCTGAACCCAAAAAGAAGGGAAGGGTGGGGGGAAGGTGTTTTTAAGACGGGGTAATGCTTCTCACTGTTCTACTTTGTCTTTTGCCCATAACTGCAATGGGTGAGTCATCCCTCCCCGTCCTTATCTCAATCCCCGAGCCTGCTGTATTTTCTGCTTCCCATTCCTGAGGGTAAAGGGGTGAGTGAGCACTTTCATGGCATCTCTGGGCTCAAACCACGACACAGGCTTGCTGTGGAGCACCCAGCCTAGCAAAGTCATCCCTGGCTGATCAGCTCTAACAAGAGACATTCCCACGAGCACGTGGGACCCGGCACTGGACATGAGGCAGCCGAGGATCAAAGGGATAGAAGAGAAATTGCAAAAAGCAAAATGCTCCCAAGGACAGTGGAGAGGGAAAAGAAATTACTCTTGTGCATGAGCAGAAGACAGCGAGCGTTATTCTGCCCTGCAGCAGGCGCTGCCTGCCTGGCCTGGCACAGCTGCCGAGTTTGGCAGGAGTTTTTCCATATGCTCTCCCTCACTTTTCTCAAACTCCTGCAAAGAAAAGGCTGTCTTCAGGCAGTGCTGTGCCTGTAATACAGCTCAGATGAAAAGCAGCTCTTTCCCCTCCCTGTCTTGCTTAGCGACAATTTTCTGGAGCTCCTCAGCTTTTTTTCCAGAGCACTAAGTCTTTCCACCTGCTTGCTGGAGGAGGTAATGCTGGAGGGTACCAAACACCCACCTTACCAACCCGGATAGCTGGGTACCAAAAGAAAAGGGCTCTGAGCGATGCTGTGCCCCATCACCCTCACTGTTAACCGGCAGTGCTGCATCCGCAGGACATTTTCCCTCTCCCACCACTGAGACAGACAAACCGAAGCGCCAGGGAAGGGAGGAGGGCTGCCTGACTTCAAACCCACCCCAAACACCTCATGTTCCCATCCCGTTTGCAGCCCTTTCCCTGGGTGGCTGCAGGGCCGAGGGCAGCAGCTCTGCAGCCGGGGATGGCAGCACATCCCTGGTCTGCCCCGCTCGCCCCTCGGGGTTAGCATGAGTGGCCAGTGGTGGTGGGCTCGCCGCGGGGGCTTGGGCTCCCTACCTCTCCCTGGCCGGCTGAGCCCGGGCTTTGCCTCCCGCACGCCTGCCGTGCTGCTTCTCGCACTGGCTCTGGCAGCCGCCAGCCCCCTCCTGCCTTTTGGAGGGCAAGGGAGGGTGGGAGAGTGGTGGCAGCGGGGCTGGCGACAGCCTGAGCATGCAAAGCCAACGGGCCCCCCGAGCCCTCTCCCGGGCTTTGCCAGTGCGGCGGTGCCCTGGGGCTGTGCCCCACTGGGGTGCGGGGTCGAGCCCCCCCGGCCGTGTTTCCCCGGGCTTTGCCCCCACGGGAAGGCTGAATGGTACAGTCGTGGGCTGAGCCCCCCGCACAGGGGAGGGGGCAGCGGGCTGCCCTCCACACGCCTGCTCCTCTTTGTCCCGGCAACTCTACGCCAAGCTTTCTGCTTTTTTTCCCATCCTCTTATTCCCCCGCCCCCCTGCCTCCTCCTTTTCTGACCCCTTTCCAGTAGCTGGGGGTGTTTGAAAGGTGGCCTGCAAAAGGCTGGCTCTGCCTGCAGCCGGCTCTCTCTAACAAGGGTTTAAAGCCAGCTGGAGGCACCCAGCGCTCAGCTGCACAAGATGCCTTATCCCTGCAGCAGAAAGAGCTTTTCTCCCACCACTTGCACTCGAGTGCAATTGTTTTCCCAAGTCTGGGACAGTCTGTCAAAGTACCACATCTCCTCTGGGACCTTAGTGGGTCAAACCAGCAGCAGCCAAGCTTTTTCTAGGCTGCAGGCTGGCAGGAGCATGTGTTGGTTTAATTCCTGCAAGCTACTTTTCTTTTAATAAAAACCAAATACCTGGGCTGATGCCTTTCACCTGGTTTATCTGCCGGAGCTGCCTGCAGCAAATGCTTGGGGTGAGCTGGGAAAAGGATGGCTAAGGGAGTGTTTGTAGGATGGTTTGCTCATTGTGGTGAAGATCTGTCTGTTTGCTCGCCTTGAAATCCATTTTCCTGGGTACAGAGGGACAGGGAACGGCACAAAAAGCTGCAAAGATTTGTCTCCAGTCCCTTAGGTTTCCCTCCTACTGCTGCTGCCCCAGCACAGCGTTTCAGCTGACGCGATAGCTTTTCCCAGGAGGGAGCCAGTGCCATGCCAAGGCAGCTGGTCTGCCTGGGCATCGCTTGCCTGCTGGTGTGGGGCTCATCCATCACAAGGGGGAGAGCCCAGCTCTAGCCCAGAAATGGCCTTGGGGAGCCCCGAGGGTAGGAGAGGTGGTTTGAGATGTAGAGCTCTCTTCTGTGAAAGGAAGGTGCTGGGTCCATGGTGAAACCCAGAGCAAGGCACAGGGTTGCGTTCAGCCATAAGCAAGATGTGAACTGTTCTGAGAGAGAGGAAAAGAGCGTGCGTGGCACAGGGATGGGAAATCCAGCTAGTTTACAAGTGCAGGGGTCAGCTTTTTCTAAGGTTTCTGCTAATGCAGGCAGATTTGGTGGAAGGGAACAGGAGCAGTTCAAGGCATCTCAAAACTACATTTCGGAAGAGCCTATCTGACTCCTCTAAGCATTGTATGGGGCTGTGGGTGAAAGCCAGCCCAGCGCTTTAAAGCTGAGCCCCCATAAATGGCCTCACTGTTCCAGCTGCACGTGCATCTTTTGCAGCAACCCCTTCTCTTTTCAGTGCAAGTCTGGGTGCAAACCCACACCTGCCCGGGAAAAGGATACTGCTGAGTAATATTTGTAGGGAGAAGACACAGCAGAAGATGCCTTGCTGGGGGAAGCAGGTGGAGAATTAAAGGCTAAGGCATTCCCCATGTTCTCGCCTCGGTGATTCGCAAGCGGCCTCCGCTGCGGTTGTGGTTTGGATGCTTTGTGGGAAGCGGTTTCTGCGGAGGGGAGATGCAGCGGCTCGGTGCCAGCCGGGGATGAAGCCAGGGCCCTGCTGCCCCTCGCTGGGTCCTGCTTCCCAGCTGCTGGGGCCAGCGGACTGCTTGCTGGCTAGGGTTTGCAGGGAAAGCACTGCAGTGTTGTTCAGAGACACCAGAGGGGACCCGTGTCTTGGGTTTCCCAGGGTGGACGGCTCATTCAGTACGTGCATGGACTGTGCAGTGCATCACAGATAAGGTGTGCTCCCACCCTCTGCTCGGGGTCTTGTGAGGACTCAAACCAGCGTCCAGACACCGACATGCTCTAAGCTGGTTGCATTCATCTTTCTTTCCATAATTTTTACGTATGATGCTGCTTGAGTGACTTGCCCATGGGCTGCGTGCCCACCAGGCGTGGGAGCAGCTCTCCCTGCCCAGCTCAAGCCAGCTCTGCAGGCAGGGAGGCTCCGTCCCTGACAGCATCTCCTTTGGGCAAGCATCGGCGTGCAGGGCAGGACCAGTGGCAGCCCCTCCACCAGCGCGCTGACCCGCAGGTTCTATGGCATGGTCCTCAGGCTCAGCTCTCATCCTGAGCCCATCCTGCAGCTCACCTGGTAGCCAAGGGCTCCCGAGTTTGCTATCCCTGCTGTCCGGTGGCGAGGGGAGGGTAACTTATTTTGCTTTGCAGTTGGTAACCAAACTGGCTCAGGTGGAGGAGCAGGATGTCCAGACTTGGCAGGGTGGGAGGACTTGTCACAGTCTGGAAATCTCTGCCCTTCACCTTCACTGCTTTCCTTTTCTCATGAAGGTGAAAGCCACAGATGCAGATGAAGGCATTAACGGGAGAGTGTGGTACAGGATTGTCAAGGGTAAGTCCAGGTACCCCTTTGTGCATCGATGGGTTTGTACCAGACTCTGGTCAGCTGCACGTACAGCCTCAGGAGGTTGCACTCTCCATCCTTTTGCACTTTGCAACCCACAGAAACGTTTCCCCCAGCCCTGAGCAAAACTTCAGCATTAAGGTTAATTGCTGGGGGATGATCTGTGATGGATAGACACCTAGATGTTGTAGATCCTGGCTCAACCAGGGCCAAAACCCTGATGTAGCTGAGCCTGATGTAGATGGAGGTGATGGGGCTGGAGTTTTGCTCAATAATCTTCCTCCAAGATAGCCCCCTGGGGAGGTCTCAGTATGCCACCAGGACTGATGCAGTGGCAGTGGGAAGCATCCATCTCACTTTTCCCCCTTGCCAGGAAACGAGCAGAACCACTTCCGCATCAATCCCAGCACCGGATTGGTGATGCGAGGTGTGAGGCACCTCGACAGGGAGCAAAACTCCTCTCACGTCCTGGAGGTGGAGGCCTACAACACGGAGCAGGGACCCATGAGGAGCTCCGTGCGGGTAAGGACCAGGGGTGGGCAGCAGGGCTGGGTGGCAGAGTAGTTCATGCAAAATATTCAGGATGCTTCATCAGAGGGCAGTCATTTCCAACCCGTGCAGGCGTGCAGGAAGTTTGAGAGATCAGGCATGGAAATGCTGACAGAAAGTCTCCGGGGGCTGCCTGTGGGTGGAGAAGAGCTTGTTGGGGGATTTTTTTGGTTGTTTTTTTTTCATTTTTCCTGTGACATTTCAGTGCTAAGTGGTGTGGCAGTTGCTGTCAGAGGGAGTCCCACTCAGCCGGTGAGACCTGGCTCAGCTGCCGGGAGTTGAAAACTATGTCTCCTGGCCAGGCATCTATGTAAATAAGCCAGGACCCAGTGGCAATAATCTTTAGCAGTGACACACCATCTTCCCACGGTTCCCACAAACCCAGCCCTCTGGTTGCATCTATTTTTAAACTCACTGGTGGGGTGGGCTCTGGCCGAGCGCAACATGCCTGCAGCACCAGCAGCGAGCAGCAAAGCAGGAGGAGAAAGGATGTTCCCTGGGGAAACAGCAGCTCAACCCGCTGAACTTTGAGCAGAATTTCCCACCAAGTCGTCAGCCTTTCTACGTCTCTTAACTGTGAGGTTTCAAGCAGGGGATCCCAAAGTACAGAGGAATTAATATACAGACTGTACTTCCCTCCGGCCAGGGAAGGACTGAGTCACTCTGACCACAGGGCTTGTTTAAATCTGTGATGTTAAACAGTGTGTGTTCACTCTCCGTCACGTGGTGTTCGTAGTAGAGGTAACAGTTCTCCTGTGCAGCAGATGAGTGCTGTGAAGGATATATTTCCCATCACAAGTGTAAGCAGCTGGCAAGGGTTCACAAGCCTGCCTGGCTCACCCATGGTTTCTCTGGGGGGTTTCTCAGGTGATTGTCTACGTGGAAGATGTCAACGATGAGGTGCCGGTGTTCACCCAGAGGCAGTACAACCGCCTGGGGCTGCGGGAGACGGCGGGGATAGGGACTTCAGTGGCGGTGGTCCGGGCTACTGATCGAGACACAGGTAGGAAGCTGGGGGTGAGAAATGCCCAGCTTGAGGGAGAAGTGGTGAAATCAGCCACTGTGTGGATCCTAGTGTGGCTGGGCTGAAACCCTCACATGGGGTGGGCTCTGCTCCGTGGTGGGTGTCAGCATTGGTGGTGCCTGTCTCTCTGGGATACCTGGTCCAACCAGCACCATGGTTCCTGCTCCTGTCCCAGGGAACGGCGGTCTGGTGAACTACAAAATCCTGTCGGGCGCTGAAGGGAAGTTTGAGATCGATGAGAGCACGGGCCTCATCACGACGATCGACTACCTGGACTATGAGACTAAAACCAGCTACCTGATGAACGTCTCTGCCACAGACCAGGCACCCCCCAACAACCAGGGCTTCTGCAATGTATACGTCAGCCTGCTGAATGAGCTGGATGAGGCTGTGCAGTTCTCCAACAGCAGCTATGAAGCCGTGATCATGGAGAACATCGCCCTGGGCTCCGAGGTGCTCAGGGTCCAGGCCCGCTCCATCGACAACCTCAATCAGATCACCTACAAATTTGACCCCAACACCAATGCCCAGGCACTCTCCCTTTTCAAAATCAACGGGATCACTGTAAGTAGGCACAGTGTGACCCCTCCTGGCTTGCTTGTCCACCAAAGTGTTGGTGGCCAGCATGGCTGTTGTTCATCCTTGGCAGGGTGTGATCACTGTCAAAGGCCAGGTGGATCGAGAGAAAGGAGATTTCTACACCCTGACAGTGGTGGCCGATGATGGAGGACCGAAGATTGACTCCACAGTGGTGAGTAGATCTACCCACTTCCCCACCAACCTCTGTGCAGGCAGAGCTGACTTCAGAGCTCCTTCTTCCTCTGGCACGGGACAGCATGTCCTAGTTCTCCTCTCTGCTCCCACCACTGGTATCTGGAAACCCTGATCTGGGGGAAACCCTGCATTTGCAGAAGCATGGACTAGTGCCTTTTAGCTTTTGCATGTCGTAGGGTGGGATTTCTCGGGGAAAAAAAAAAAAACAACAACCACTCCAAACTGTAGAGTTTGCAGGTCACTTG